AAAGTACCTTGGCCATTGTTACAATGTCTGGAACAACACCATGGGCCTCAAAACCCCAAAAATCGCCAGTTCGAGCAAAGCCCGATTGGACCTCGTCAGCTATGCAAAGGCCGCCAGCTTTTCTAACAGCACTATAGACAGCCGGCAAGTATCCCGGGGCCAACTCCATAATTCCACCCACTCCCTGTAGCAATCGAATATTCAGAAACATAATAATAACACAAAAAAATGTGTTCATATGAATAAAAAAAAAAAAAAAACATAGGCCCTCTAAAGATCGACCTGTATAGGTTCGGCAATGAAAGCAGCAACTCGGCCGGTTGTTCCATATGTGATGATCTCCTCGACATCTTTCGCATACTTTTGTCCATCTGACCCAAATACACCCCTGTACTGGTCAGGATTCAATGCATGGTGTACTCCAGTCTTGCAAAAAAAGCAAAAGGCAAACATGGAACAAAATGTCAACAAAATGTCAAAATATGCAGACTTCAGCATAAGATATCTCAAATGGACAAAAACAAATAAACAGTTATTGAATTTTGTAGGTGAGACTTATCCATGAACCATAATTTGAGTCAACAAATACTAATCTTTTAACCTAACTCAACAAACCAACCATAGTTCTCAACAGGAATCAAAGTAAGATAAAACAAAACTTGGTTCCAGTCAAATGCATAGATTTTTGTAAGAAAGATTCTATCCCTGCACCATAACTTGAGTCTCAAAAACTTGTCTTTTATACTTTATCCTGATCTTAAAAGTTCAATCACAGTATCACTGAACAGATTAGTGTCCATATGCATAGGAGAATAAATCAAAATACCTGCACAACATTAAATTTGTAGCTACTTTGAGCAGTAGCCCCCATTGTCCCAGCTGCATTGCCATGGTATCCATTCCTGACAGAGATAACTTCATGTGAGCCCGTGTACAGTCGGGCCATCAACAAAGCCAGCTCGTTCGCCTCTGTCCCCGAATTCGTGAAGAAAACAACCTAACACCACAAGATTAGCCCCCCAAATCATTCTCAAAGCACAGGGGAGAAAAGAAACTAATCACAGCTTTGCAACAAATCAACAAAATTATAAATATGTTGGGCCTTATTTCGGGCTTCATGGCACAAGGAAAATTGACAAAGGCTAATCTTTATGTGAAAAACACCGAGTAAAATTTATCAACAAATAATGATGATAACAACAGCTGTATTCTACAATCTCTGGATTGAAAGAATAAAGCAGATAGATAGATAGATACCTTGAGATCACCCGGGAATTTTCCGGCGAGCGCCTCGGCAAAGTCGGCTATAGCAGGATTCAAGTAGAGAATGGTGGAGTGCTGCAGGCGCTTGGCCTGATCGACAATGGCGGCCACCACATCCGGATGACAGTGCCCGCAGCTAACAGTCGCTATCCCGCCAAAAGCATCCAAATACCTCCGACCCTTATCGTCAAAAAGGTATTGCATCTTCCCATCCACTAAAGCCAGCTGCGAAACAATCGAAAATAGCAACCAAAAAAAAAAAAAAAAATTAGCCAATAAATAACAAAATCAAGCAAAACAAAATCCCTAGATCCCATCGCCGAGAACCCACCGGTTTCTTGAAAAAATGGAAGACGGCGGGGCTGAGAAAGTTCCGGCGCTTGGCGAGGATCTCCTCGGCGGACGGGCCGACGTACGGCGGCGGGGCGTAGTCGAATGGGGGCATCTCGGGTGGATTGGGCTCGTTCTCCACGAGCGGCTGCGATAGGGTGGAATAGGCGGCGGCCCGCGTGCGGAGGAGGGATTTTCCGGGCGGCAGGAATTGGATTTTCTTCATCACCTTCGCCATGGGAGAACGAAAGGGAGGAAGATTGAGAGGCGAGCTTGTTGGGCTGTGTGCGCAGGTTGGTGGATTATTTGTAGGCAGAACAATCGTATGTTTTTTTTTTAAAAAAAATAAAAAATAAAAAATCAAATTGTGTTCTTGAAAACAAAATATGTAGAAATTTTGTGAATATTTTGCTTTAGAGGAAAATTATTTTTTTTATTGCATATTTGCATGAGAATACAATGGGAAAATATTAATTATAAAAAAAAAATAGTTGTTATTTTTTACTATTTATGGATGGATTTGTTTTATTCATATATATATATATATATAAAGTTATAACTTATATATAATTGCATTGACCTTTTTGAATAATCGTTTGAAATTATTATTTAATAAATTTATTTCTTTTATTTTATGATTATTATAATTAGTCCTAGATTTAGTAGAAAATATATTAATTAGTTAAAAAAAATATTTATCCTAGTCATTTTTTTGTTAGGTAAGTTATTTCATTAGTGTTTAGGCCATCTCCAACCGAAAAACTCAAACTCAAACCCATTTTGCAGTAACTATCCCATTTTGCAGTAATTCATCTCCAACCGAAAAACTCATTCTCAAACCCAAAAGAATATTCCCAGAATATTCTCTTTTACACCAACTTTTATAACTTTTCAATACTACCCATTTATTTTACAACTTTACAAATTAAACCACACTATTATTTTAAATTCAATTTGGACTTTATGTAATTAAAATTAATTATACATAATAAAATGGGAGAAATAAATATTCATTAAAAATTGAAATTTCGCCACAAAAATAAAATTAAATATTACAAGACACAAGATGAAAAATTAAAAAATACAACACACATGATAAAATTAGAAATTACAACACGCAAAATGAAAATTTAAATATTACAACACACAAAATAAAATAGAAAATTACAACAATCACGTAAAATTAGATAGTCTTTCAAGTCTCGGAGTTGGTGAATTCTTCCCATAAATGTTCAATCAGTGCATTCCGAAGTGCAATATGATCATCTTTATTTCTAATTTGTTTGTACCGAGATATAAATTCTTGAAATCGAGTACTTTCATCTACTGCCATTTCGACCTCCGGCGGCGGCGTTTCCATTTCAGTTTCTATTGGTGCACTTAGGTCACGTTCATCCTCGACAATCATGTTATGCAAAATTATACATGTGGTTATGATATCATGTAACACTTCTTTTCGCCAATAACGTACTGGTCCTGCTACAATGCCAAAACGTGATTGAAGAACTCCAAATGCACGTTCAACGTCTTTTCTGCAGGCTTCTTGTTTCATTGCAAAATATTTTTTCTTTGGACCACGTGGCTCATGAATTGTTTGCACAATGGTAGACCATTTTGGATATATGCTATCAGCTAAATAATAACCCATGTTGTATTCTTTTCCTTGAATTATATAATGAGCTGGAGGAGCAATACCTTGGGTTAGATCCGAGAAAAGATGAGATGATTCTAGAACGTTGATGTCGTTGTTGGAGCCCGACAAACCGAAATAAGCATGCCATATCCATAGATCATAATCTGCTACAGCTTCAAGGATGATTGTAGGCTTTCCACTACGACCAGCATATTGGCCAGCCCACGCTGTAGGACAATTTTTCCACCTCCAATGCATGCAATCTAAACTCCCCAACATTCCTGGAAAACCACGTTGCTGGCCAATGTATAGAAGCCTGGAAATATCATCAGGTGTGGGCCTCCGCAGATATCGCTCGCCAAATACCTCAACTATCGATCGACAAAATTTTTTCATACTTTCAATTGCAGTGGACTCACCAATTTTAACATACTCGTCTGTAGCATCAGCTGGAACGCCGTATGCCAACATACGAAAGACAGCAGTTATTTTTTGTATTGGAGATAATCCAAGTCTGCCTGCTCGATCCACTCGCTGTTGAAAGTAATGATCATGATCTTTGACTGCGTCGACAATTCGAAGGAACAACGAACGAGACATTCTGTATCTTCTACGGAACATGGTCTCGTTATACAATGGATTTTCTGAGAAATAATCATTGTACAACCTACGATCAGCAGCCTCTCGATCACGATTGATAAGAATATGCCCAGGAACAGATCCTCCATGGGAGGCTTCTTGGTTTTGTTGATTGATAAGATGTTGAATAATGATGTTGTTATTAGCGATAGCTTGAGCTATCACTGCTTGTTTTTTACGAAGAGCATTCATAATTACCATATGATTATCCTCAGAATCAGAGGAAGAAGATGACGAATTGCCAAAATCAAAATTCATTGTAGAAAGAGAAATATGATAAGATGTTTGAAGAGATTCAAGTGTGTGATGGATTTAGTATATGTTATGTTCTTATAGTAGTGAATTTGAAAGGTGTAGTAACCTTTGTGGGAAGTGGTTATTTTCTAGTCAAAGCATTGATAAGCGTGACAGTCTTTGAGGTGAGAGGTCATTTTTTGTCAGAACATGGATAAGCGTGATCAGCTTTGCAGTGATGTGTCATTTTCGCGTCAGAACATGGATAAGTGTGATCAACTTTGCAGAGGGTGTCCACTTCGGGTCAAAGCAT